GAGCGGTACTCTCCCCGATGCTATACAACATCTATACTAGCGACATCCCCCGGACCGCCAATACGACCCTGGCTCCCTTTGCGGACGACACAGCTCTGTTGTCATCTTCATGGCGCAAAGAGCAAGTGCGTAGAAACGTGAAGCTTGCCATAGATGAACTGCAAAAGTGGTTCATCAAATGGAAAGTGAAGGTGAACGCAACAAAGAGCCAGGTCATCCTTATTGGAAGGAAACAAGACAGGGTTGATAGAAATATCAACCTTGACGGAGAAGAGAGCCAACGGGCAAGTAATGTCAAGGATTTGGGTGTTGTTCTAGATCAGAGGCTGACCTGGAGGCAACATGTGAAGACAGCAACCAACAAGGCAAGGCAAGCGACAAGGCAAGCGGCAACGCTGTATCCACTGCTAAACCGAAGAAGTCAGATGAGTGTGAGAAATAAGCTGCTACTCATCAAAAGTGTCATCAGGCCGGCCATGACGTATGCCTCCACAGCGTGGGGATATGCGGCAGAAACCTACCTGAGGCAGCTCCAGGCCACAGAAAATACACTTCTGCGGATGGCCATAGATGCTCCCTGGTTTGTACGTAATCGTCAAATTTACAGGGACCTAGAGTGGGAGCCACTGCGAGATCTACTGAAAAGAAAAGCAGCCACGACCTTCAAAAAGGTCAAAAACCACCGCTTTGAGGAGCTACGAAATGCCGTAGCTTACTCCCCAGAGGACAATGACCAAGTTTCCAATAAAATGCCTGTTTACCCGAGATTTTTCAAGGTTTTTCCATTAGGGTCTCTAGGACCCAGCGCGACTAAATTTTTAACATTTAAGGGCGTGAACACTGAAAGGTTAATGAGTAATAAGGCCTCACTTGGAAGGTACGAGAAAAATATTGAAATTTTTAAAGCATTCAAAAATAAAAATTACGATATTTGCTTCAAATTAAATTTTTGATATTCAAAAAAGTTATCTTCTAAAATTTGTTGATGAAAAGTCAAAGCAGCAATGATGTTTTCTGTTATTAACAGATAGTTACAGATGAAAAGCCCTTGTCAATAATACCAATAATTTGAAGACCTTAGAGCAACAACGGTACAAGCCATAATATCATCAAATATGAGATAAATTGTTTTTACACCAGTAGGCACCCACTTACCTTAGAAATAGAAGTCTTCGCTATTGTAACATAGATAGCGCGTTACACTAGCAAAACCATTGTTGGTTTTAAAATAATATCAAGCATTTTAAGTTTGAAAACGGGACAAGCCACGTTAATTATCATGTGACTCATGGGAAATATTTCTGAAAATATTATGCTACGCGAGTTACATATGTAGCATGGAAGACCGCTGACGCAGCAGCCATATTCCGCTGGCAGTCGTCAAGGTCTAATAGTTCACACCTGAACTATAGGAACTGCTGACGAATAGACTTCAAAGAATATTACATTTTAAATATAACCTTTCCATAAAGTCTTCCTGGCTCTAACTTTCAAACTGACAAGTTGTATTAAAGAAATAAACCTTTTTAAAAAATCTCTTCGTCGTTGGATATACGTAATTCGCCACCTGCGCAGTGGGCTTATTGTTATAGAAAGGATTTTCAGAAGAATAGTAATTCACTTGAAAAATGTCATCAAGAACTGAAATATAACTCCTCAATGAGCGGAAGATTTCAACGGCAATTTGACTTAGTATAGATAATGTAATTGAATGTATCCAGAAAATTATTTTATGAAAGTTCTATAGCTAACAGTAGATTTCCCGCTAAATTAAGTACATTAAGAAAACGACACAAAATAGCTGCCGAAATATTAAACACTACAGATGTTTTTAACATCCAGAAAATAATAAATGGATGGTAGCTTCCTTAGAAAATGTGAATTCTAGTTGATCGCTAGAATTTTATTATGTTAGATTAAATGATAAAATTAGAAAGCCAAAATCACTTGCGTAATGAAGTAGCTTCAATTTTGTTAAAAAGGAACAAACTTATTAAAAGTTTAATAAGTTTAAAGGGGGTGCATTAATAAAGGAATATTTTGATTGTTATCTACCATCAACATATATGCTGCAGCTTTTTTATTGCACTTGAAAACAACAAACACCCATAGAAACGACAATAAATAGTATTTAAAAACAACAACAAAGGAAACCATATTAAATTGCATGTTAAATAATGAAGAGTATATGACCAAGGCAGGGGGGCGGACTAGTAGTACTAGTTCTAGCATTTAGTTATTATTAGATTCTCTACAATAAATACAAACAGACCTGCAGGACGGGATCATTATGGTAGCACTTTCGTAATAGATAAAAAATGTGCCAATCACCAGACTAATATTGAGCAAGATTTTATATCTGATCAATTAGTGCCAAAACTGCAAGGCCACACTTAAGAAGAGACCAAAAACCTCTCTAAAAATTAAATTGCCATTATATGTCCCTATATATCTCGCAAGTTTTAATACTGAAGCAATAACTTTGGCAAATAAAAATTAAACCACATTGTTATTGAGTATGTATGCGTTAACATCATCTAGTACTTAAGTACTGAAAAACGCAAAAAATCACACCCAAAGTAGATTACAACAGATTAAGAGAAATAAAAGTTAAAAAAAAACTTGCTTTACACTTAATTAAACGGCATTTGCATTCTTAGTAAGGATTGGTGTATTCTGTGGAAATAAACAACTGGTGGGCGTTTCCAGGGATTCTTATTTATTTGAGGTGTGGACGGTGGAAGCGTGCATTAAAAAGCATTGCATTTTCTATTGATATCAGCTTTAATCTAATAAACCCTAATACCTGTTTGTTGCATATTACCGCAAGCTAGTATATAACTTGCAACACAACGCTTTTATTTTTATTGATGTAACATACTGAAATATACTTGCAGACAACAGCCAAAGTAGTGGAAACAGCGTGGGTTACTCATGAGGAGCTAGCAGCTAACCTTCGCAGGAAAATCGCCTACCACAGAAGGCTGTGCAGGATATACACAAGGCAGAGGACATCTGAATCGCCCTAAACCGGCAGAGACAGATTCTGAAGGAAGCTTTCAGGGATAACCGAAACCAGCAGCAACAAAGGACGGGAGTACAAATGTTTCCAACAATTCCTATTGTTTAACGAACATTCGCATACCACATGCGAAAGAATATAGCAATAGCGGTGATAACGTTTTAAAACAATATAATCTTGCCTCCGTGTTCGACAATTTACACCGTATGAAAATATCCACAATTAGATCTATATAAAATTAAATTTGCAAAAAAAGCAATATGGTTTGGACCGAATTACTAAAAAATCTGCACATTACTGACGAATGCATGCGAATATCAAGCAATTGTAGCAACGATGGAGTTAGACTATTATTCTCGTCTCATCAAAGCTACAGCTTCTGTTATTATGCAGCTCATAGGGTAGTTACTTAGACTGATGTAAAAAAAACGATATTTCGGCTATTCAGTTCACCGAATATAGCTAAGTGCACATGCTGAGGTGCCCTCCCAGTCCACACTCAAGACACAGAAATACACCTCCCCAGGCCCCCACAACATAGAAATATCTCCATCGAATAGTGTGCTGCTACCGTGATGAGACATAACAATATCTCTATTGGAAATAAAACAAACACCAGCAAACATATTTTTATTAAATTCACATGGTGAAAAAGATCCATTCGAAATGTCATATCAAGTATAAAATACTTAAGTAGGCGGATACTCGGAAGGCGCTTTCTATCATATCTAAGTCACATATCTGTGATGGGAATGACTGCTACATTTGCCGTTAAAGCTCTGTCGCTACCTGAAACAATTAAAAAATCGTTAAAAAAATAATATATGAATAAAATTACTAAGAGAGGTCATCAATGTTATTTCCCTTATTCGCACCTTGTCTGACTAAAAATACCAGCCAAGGGCTGGGCGAATATCAAGTACGATCCATGCATGTCATGAACTGGCATTCAAAATTGTCGTTTGATTTTAGTTCAAACCTATTTTATGTTTTTCTTAAACTCAAAAAACAATATTTCTTGAGTTTAATAGCATACCACTTATTTCAACATATCTGTCTATATACTATGGCTCTCCTGGTTCATTTAGAAAAAAACGCTCGAACACTTCAACTTTGATTTTGAAGGGAATATATTGTAATAATACAATTGCATTATACCGGGTGTTTCATAAACAACATACGTCACACTTTTAATTTTCAAATGGAAACCTACTAGTCTAATGTCATTTTTGATCCTGCCAGAAGTTTGTTGTAAATTTGGTTTAGCATGTTCTATACCCAGCTCCAACCGTTTCAATTTTATTTGCGTTTGTTATTGAATGATCGAGATATTGAGCCGTTTGGAAATGTCGCACATTGCCGTTTCTATGGATGCCTCTAACAGATTAGTTAAAACAACGATTCGCCATTAAGTGTCAGTGTGGGCTTAAACTTATTTTTAACTTTGCTTGTACAGTTTTCATTATACTGAAATCGTCCATTCGCGAAATCGGTCTTCAATCGTTTTGATTTAATTTGAAATTTTATACCTCTATGTAATAACTAAATTTTCGATAGGTGGAGCCGTTAGATAATTTAGTGAAACACCTTTTTTAATGGTACTTAATTTAAAAATTGAAACTCTTGTAATACCTTCTGTGAATAAATAACTCTCCATGATAACAATTTCCATAAAGTTAAATAAATAAAGTACACCAGCAATTTTTATTATTCAAACATATGGACTACTGCACTTAATTTAGCAGAGGCCCAGCTGATTGCAGCGAGCGGTTTGAAATATAAAATTAATTGTGTATGCATGCAAATAAAATAAAATAAAGTATTTTCAGCTTTGGTTTCTCTATGGATGTCTATGAACTCGTGTGAGTTCTTAATCGGTTAATAAAAATTATGATGATAATCGGAAAAGTAGTAAAAATATATCATCTGGGTATTACTAATTACTATTTATTTTATATTAAATGATTTGTTTACATGAAAAGGTCAAGAAAGTGGTAATGTTAAGAAAGCGTATATAGTACTGGCAAATACGCAAAAAATTTCGACTGGCACGCTGGCGCAAAGAGCTGAACCATCATGGCGACCGTTGTTTGGTTTTGGAAAATGGTGAATTTCAGAGGGTGTTCAGTGGTAGAAAACGGCATTAAGTCGAAAAATTGTAAATGAAAAATGTCGTTTGTTGCGAGATTTTCTAAAGGTGAGCATAATATTGTGCAATTCAATTGGCAAAGCGGCAAACAGTACCAGACTGTAGAATAAAGGTTTCCCAAAAAGGTAAATTGGCACGTTGAAAGGTTGCTCCCCTGATTTAGACCATTCCGTATAAATTGACTTTTTACACTACATAAGAAGATTTATAAAACGGGACCCGGGAATGGAGACCGGACTGACACAATAACAAAATATTTTAGAGCATGTAATCGATATTTAGAGTTGCCAAATCTCCGGTTTTTGACAGGAGTATTAGGTTTTCTTTCATAAGCTCAGGTCACAACTATTTTGTCAACCGGATTAGGATTTCTCCGGTTAAAAAGCAAATAGCTGTTAGGCTATACATTTTGTTATTTTTCAGTATTGCATGAAAAAGCAAATAAAGCTGCATTGTGAGTAATTACGAACTAATCGACAATACCCGATCGTCGGTACGTCGGTTAATAATAACATCCTTTGTTTTTGGTGTCGGGTGTACATAACTATTTAATATAAAATAGATAATAATTAGTAATACCCAGATGATAGATTTTCACTACTTTTCCGATTCTCATCCTAATTCCAATTAACCGATTAAGATCTCACATGCGTTCATAGACATACATAGAGAAACCGAAGCTGAAAATACTTTATTGAGAAAATAACAGATTATTTTAATTTCTTTGCATGCATACCTAATTAATTTGATATTTCAAACCGCTGGCTGCAATCTGCTGGGCCCGGCTAAATTAAGCGCACAATCATATGTATGAGCTTATCAGTGTCGTCTATTATTTCCTGTATGGACGTTAAGTTTTCTGTTAAGTTTTGAACCTTGAAGAAATAACTTTTTTGTTTTCATTGTGATTTTTTACTTTGGTGGCAGTTTGGCAACATGGCTGACCAGTATGCCATTTTCGGCTGCGCGTATCGTGCGTACGGTCATGTGCGCGTACCACTGTCCAATCAATTTTTTAAGGTAATATTATATATGCATCGAATGTTTCACTTTTTAAACAATAAAAATTAAGGGAACAGTATTACCGTATTTATTTTTTCACTGATTAGCAAACTACCCTAAAAATATTTTGGTCGTAAGCTCACTTTCCTCGACCTCCGATCGTAGGTTTTTTTCAATTTGGTCACCCTATCAATATTAATAAAACTTACCCGTAGCTCTTACAGTTTTAATCACGATCAACTATTTATTTAGTTATCATTGTAAAACTTCAGACCAACAAACACAATAAAATACATCTAGGTATAAGGGCGATTAAAATACGCCTTGACTCTGCAGACAAGTTCAGAACCGCCATTTTGAATGATGCAAACATATGGTGATGGATGCGACTTACGTCGACCGAACGGCCTGACTCTATTTATCTATGTGTGGTAGGCAATCGGCTATACAGTAAAGTGTGTGGGTGGAGGCGTTTGAGATTAGCTAAGCTCTTCAGTTACCTATGCATTACACTAATGTTATAAAAATGAACATAATTAATGAATCATATTTGAGAACAGCCAGTGTGACCAGATTGGGCGATTTATGGCAAATTGAACCACTTTACAGACAGTTTTGCGACGAACATTTTGGGAAAGTCGCCGAGCGACCTTTGGCCAATTGGCAAAATTGGCCATCCCTTGCCGCTAATTGCCAAAAATGATAAGAGTTAACGATATTTCTTCTTGGAAAACGGTGAACGCAAAACAAACACTCGAATATCTAACGAATATTTGAATACTCGAGTACCTATTCAAATACTCGAATATTTGTTAGATATTCGAGTAGTCGAATTATTTTACTTTTGGAATAAACCACTAAACGAATATTCGAATTTCAGATTTTTAAAAATTCCGAGCCCTGCTATGGAGAATGATTCGAAAACTAAACATTCTGCAAGAAAATCAGTACATGCAAAATAATGTCCTGATTGCAACACAGACGATTGTTAAACGTTTATCGAAAGACACAGACACGTAATTGTCTAGTGTTAATAGAAACCAGATAGACATTCGAAACCAAGTCATCAAAATCTCAAATAACGTTCAGTATACTAGTATTGCGGCGTATTCGCTCATATTACTAGACCGTCTCGAAACCAATGTCCGCCCTATTAATGCCATTCAGACAAACGTCCAGACGGCGATTAAATTAACTTCGCATGAAAATAATTGAGCATGGTCTTCTCAGATATCGTGAACTTGGAAACGTTGTATGCAAACTAAAATTATTAGTTCGTAAAATACTACGAAGTTGCATCCGTCGACCGCACGATTAAGTCCAATGATTTGCAATTGCGTAAATTAACTGTTTGAAGAATGACAAACCGTTTTTAAAAACTACTTTTATTTCTAGAATTGTTACAAGTTTACTTAAGCGTAGTTGTACTCTAACTAACTTTTACATTAATTCAATGATATAAGCAAAACATGAGGCTTCTTTATAAAATGATGATTGGTGGTATTCCTTAGCTGCTGATACATCGGAATCCATGGGAACTGGCCACATAACTCGTGCAACACTCTCTCTATTTCAATTAATGAACGAATAATGTCATTGAAAATCCTTTATTAAAATCAATAGATGAACCTTTCGATCCACAAAAAAGTTGTCTCAAAAAGCAGATATGTTCAGATTAATGCAAAATCTTCCAAAACTCGTAATAATTTAAAAATTAATTGAGAAAACTGTAATTAAACTAAAGTAAAAATCAATGAAATTGATTTTCAAAGCATTTATGACGACTTCGAAAATGCAACGAATTTAATTACGCACCCTTTAAAGAAAATTGAGTATTACTCATGGATCTATCTGATTGATACTATCTAATTGTAACAATAATAATCATTATATGTAGAATTTTATTGATTAATTTGAAACTCACGTTTTTAAAAAACACTTTAATTTAAAATTAATACAATATTCTTTATTATGTGGATTTGAATTGGTGTGACCGAACCGGACCTAACCATAGGCTGTCTATGAACTGAGATTAAACAGACGTGACCATAGACTTATCTTTAACTTTAGCTGAATTATCGTTTCTGCCGTGGCTACTTTTATACTTGGATCATGCTGATCATAGCAGAAACGATACTACGTCTTATTTTAATCGTTTAGTCGGCGTAAGTGGCCATATAATTCCTCCCTCCTTAAAACTGAGAAAATAGGGATTTATTTTCGAGAGTTTTTAAATTTATGTCCACTTTTACATCTTGCCTTTTCTTAAAATAATAATAGTATATTGTCATACATATCATGATTATTATAATTATTGTTACAATCAATATCAAGGAGATGGTTCCATGAGTAATACTCAATGTCTTTAAGGGATGCGTAATTAAATTCCTTGCATCTTTTAAATCATTATGGATGTTTTGAAAATCAATCTCATTGATTTGAAGTGGTTCAATTTCCTCGATTAAATTTTTATTTATGACAAGTTTTGGAAGTTTTAGTCTTAATCTAAATGTATCTGGTTTTTGAGAATCATAAATTTTGTTTTTGATTTTTACAGTACACTCAGCTGGGAAAATCAAAGAAGGTTGATTTATAACTTCTGATGTATTTCGGTTTGGACATTCAAAATTGACATTATTCTTATTTCTGGGAATAATAAGAATTGAATTAGCATTTAATTGAGTGATTGAAGATTTGTTGTATTGAATCGGAATCATTGGGCAATGATTTGTTAAATTTATTGTTTGTATTATAGGGTTCGTTGGAATTAATTGATGTTTCTAGACACAAGAAGATGTCTTCAATTTTACGGCAATTTTCTTTCAAATTGAATGACTCATTTGGAGATTTTAGCAAATATGGATTATTTACTGACAATATTTGGTTTTCAATTGGAATTGGGTACAAATGGAATAGAGTATAGACTTTTCCATATATTAGAGGAATTGCGATGTAAAATATTATTAAGTCGTTTTTAATCGTTACATCGACGTATGCAGTTTCATAGTATTTTATGAAGTTATCAAAAGGGATTCGTGTTTCAGGGGTCAGCTTGAAAATTATCTTTTCAAGTTCACGATATTTGAGAATGCTGTGATGCATTATTTTTAATTCTGCAAAGTTAATCGCTGTCTGAATGTTCGTCTGGATGTCGTTGATGACACGAATATTATTTTCGAGATTATCAAGTA